TGGAATAAACACAGGTATGGGATGCCCGGAGGCATCTGCCCAGAGGGAACCAGCACCTTGAAAGGCAGGTGGTAGGTTAGGGGAAGACCTTGAAAAATGCCGAGGCCTCTGCTAAGGCACTGGGCAGCCCGTGAGGTTTCGAGCAGGGCGGCCACGTGGTCAGGGCTTGGCTCTGCACACACATATCAGGGAGCGCCCTCTGAGGAAATACACGGAAAATGGCATGGTTAAACATGTTACAGATGACTAAGGGCAAAGAGTTTCTTAATCAAATCGTGTATAAAATATCCATCTCCATTCTGTGTGTCTGCTGGAAATGATTCCCAGGAGAGAGAAGCCACACAGACAAGCAGCTCATGACTAAACACGGGAAGTATTACATCTAAAAAGGCAGAACCCGCCCTAGCTCATCCTCATCAGATCCAAGAAAAGGCCATGTTGTCAACGTTCTAGAAGCGGGCTAAGTGAGGCCTGAAGGGGCCGCCATGGGGCCAGCGCCAGCCAGCCAGCCAGCCAGGACACACGGCCCCCACAGCCAGACTCCCGGACAACACGCAGCCCGCCTTGCTGGCTTCCCCTCACACAGTCGCGAAGTTCACACACACCGATCCCATTGTTCTTTCTTTCTAATCAACCAGCTACCTTTTACCAGAAAACTAGAAACTCCTGAAAAATGACAGTAGCAATGAAAATGAACTTCAAAATCTCCTAATGAGTCACAATGCAAGGGCCTATTTCCAGGAAACCAAAGTAAAAGCATTTTATAGAATCTTCTCATTTTAATACGAAATGCTTTAAATGTGTGGTAATTATGGAAATAAGGCATAATGCTGTAATCTGAGTTGTCATTAATTTAGCAAGTCTATCCCCTGACATTCACAAGATGGGGAAACAGCAAAGAGTAAATTACTGTGTGTCCAAATCAGAGGCTTTCGTTTTGTTTCAGCGTGTAATTTTAAACATAAAAGTGTCTTTTTCCAAAGTATTCACTAGAAACACCATTAAAACTTGACACAATACCCTTTTAGCCCTGAGCAGGCCTATTCCGTCATCAATGACAAGGCTTTCATAAATTTAGTATAAATTCAATTCAACAGATGCTACATGATAAGTAACATCCTTCTCACAGACTGATTTTTAAAATACAATATCAATTTTCTCATATGGGTGATAAGCCCCCAGATCGCCATGTGAACTTGCATGCTAGAGAGCAGCACCCATTCTATTAACAAGGTAATAGCTGTTAATAGAGGCTATTAACAGCTATTATGAATAGATTCAAGGTACTAGCTGCCAATTTGCCTCCCTCCCAACAACCCTTTTAAAGTAAATTTTGAACAAGGTGACAGCCTAACTTTGACTAACTGTATGATACTCGGTAATGCCAATCAGCAAGAAACTCAGAACAAAGCATTTCTTTAGAGAAAATGCCACGTTTCATACTGTGACCCTACCATCCAGATACAACACGACCGAATGTAAAGCTTCGTTTCCTGGGCTGAAAGGTTCCTCCCTCCAGTCTCCTAAGCTCCACTCAGCAGTAGTCATCACTCCTCTGGCTTCCAGGGTTCCAGATTCCAAGTTCCTTCTATCCAAACAATCACCATCTCGGAACATTCCTTCCTTCGGAGTTTCTTTCCACCCAATCCCCCTTCCTCTCCACTCCCGGGGCAGCCCTGTCCAGGTCTTAATGAGTCAGGCCTGAGTGCCCATCTCCCACATGGTCTCCGTGGCCCTCCCAGCTCTGCATGTGTCCACACACCTCACAGCAACTCTTCCTCCTCACCATAGCTCTTATCTCCACATGGAAACTGCCAGCACAACCTCCGTTTTCACATCTTCCAGTTTCAGTCACTGGAAATAGACTGATCTGACACCCTCTCCTGTCCCAAGTGCAAACTCCTGGACCAACTACCCATGACGGAGGCATCAGGTCATGTAAGGACCAGGGGGAGGCAGAGCGACCTGGGCGGAAAGGAACGCAGTTATTGTTTCCTGGGATGTCGGGTAGCGAGCATGTGGCCAATAACACCTGCTGTCTTCACAAGTCCAGGTCACTTTCTACTCAATTTCAATCTGATAACTACTTGTATGACAACGACTCAACTAACTCAATATTCCTCAAGTCACCAGTTGGAATAACAATGAGAAACTATGTTCTGTATGTTTTCACAGGTTCTAAAACAACTGTGTAGTAAAATGCTTTGGTGGTTACAATTAGTTACTTTTCATCCCGGTTCATGTGTGGAAGCTGTGATCCGTAACATCTGCCATTCACAGTGTGTCTTTCAGAGGATAGAGTATGTCAGCGCAGCAAAGTAAGGAGCCAAAATGAACTACAATAATACAGGTGACAATAAATTTATGGACCTAGGCTATGACCAAAAAGCCACTAAGGGAGACTGCTTCCCTCAGACACATGCACCACTGCCTAGGAAGCAGTTCTGGCAAAAAAACAAATCATCAAACCTGAGTCGAATCAAATCTCTAGGTCCAACAAACAATTTACAGGAGTGACAGAGGAGCGGACACACTAAATGCACACCATAGGAATCCAATCTGTGAAAACAGACTCTGGGAAACTGTACAGGACGAATGACCTCGGTTCTTGAGCAAGACGGAGCATACAGGTTAAAAGAGATGTAAGAGACACGCCAACCAATCAAAATGCCTGCTCCTGATCTGGTTCCTGATTCAAATAAATACACTGTAAGAAAAGAAAAATATTCTTGAGACAATAAGGGGAATCCAAACACTGACTAGATGCTTGATGACAGTAAGGATTATAATTAATTTTTAGGTGTGATAATGATATTGTGGTTGGGTTTTAAAAACAAGAATCTTTATCTTTTATTGAAGTATTTACAGACAGAGTGATATGACATTTGTGATTTGCTTTCAAATTACTGGGGGAAGGAAAAAGATGAGTGGAGAAAAAGATAAAGCAAGCTTGGCCTTAGCACAAGAATTGTTGAAGCTGGGTGACGGTGTGTCAGGAAAGGGTGTGCATGACAACACAACACACACACACACACACACACACACACACACACACGGCACAAGTCTCAGGCAACTGCAGCCCACGAAACCCAAGCATAGGCAAGTCAACAAAATTCTAATACAATACGAATTTCAAATGTAAAGTTAAGAAATTCATAACATCAAATATTAATGACAAAACCACGGACCAAAGCCTGAGAGGAAACAGATAATAATTACGACCACTCTTTGAAAGTCAGTAATGAATTTCTTGTTTCAGAACGACAAAAATGTACACATTCAATTTCCTTGCTCTACTTCATTAAAATTTCTTGATTTTTTTTCAATTCGACAGGCTTAAAGACCCTTGATCTAACCCTAAAAAGAAGTTTACAACAGCCTATTCTAGCTATACAATCAAGTACTTAGGTTTAAGTTTTCTAAAGTAAAAAATTAAAAAATGCTCGAACTGCTAAACATTCTTATTAACAGCCCATGGCCGTTTTCAGAAGCAAACAGCCCTCTCCAGGAGGGCACACATGGAAGTCCAGTTCATGCTCCTCCTTCCGCATACTGGTTCTGTTCTTGTAAATTTTACATCCTTGCCTACACGGATACTGCTCAGAAGCGCTGCTGCAGTCAAACAGGCAGGCAGGCGCCGTGGAATAGGCACCAAGTCAGAGGGCGGTGGAATGTTCAGGCTGCCAGCTACACCCCAGCTCGGGGATGCGCTCTGCTAGGAATGAGAAGGCCGGCTCCTGGAGTGTAAACCTGTAAGGCACCAGGAACGCCAATCCCCGAATCATACACAATAGACTCGGTCTGGCCTATTCAGCAGATGATCTGAAGACTCGCCGGGCTGAAATTTCTTCCCCTTGAGTTAGAGAAAATACTACTGCATTCAAGATCCAGTTAGCTAGGCCCTGGACAGGCATGCACCTATCCAATGGCCAGGCAGGGAACTCTGAAAACAGAGCTGCTTGCTTAATACAGAGCCTGAGTCATATAAAATGCATCAGCAGAAACAGGCCTCTAAGAGCCAGAGGGCAGGGAGGGGAGAGAGCTGTTTACCTGTGTGCTTTCTCACAAGAGGAGCGGCTGGCCCTGAACTGCATGTAAGGGCCCAGAAAGGAGAGGGCGTGAAGGTTAGAAAAAGATAGAACAGAGTAACAGCAGACACGAGGCAGAACAACTCTGATATTCACCGAGTCCTGATTTTCCTAAACACAGACCTTTCATGTTTGAAAAATGAAGATAGACACTCTCCCTCACACTCCCTAAGCTGAACTGAGTCATTGTTGATGTTGCACTTGAAGATTATTCGATACAGTATTTACAACCAAACATGCCAAGACCCTAGAAAGGGGGAAGTTTACAAAACAAGCTTTGGGCCCTGGGAATTACCCCCAGCAAAAAACTCCCTGCACTCAGGGTGCTTATACAAGAGGGCGTAATTAAACGGTCACAGACAACTCGAACATGAAGCGCACTGAAGATATAAACACTAGTGAGGAGCTAAAAGCAATTACTATGTAGAAAAAGAAAGTGCCTAAAGAGGAAATGAGTAATTAGACGTGCTTTCTCCTGATCAACAGATCTTGAGAGAGCACGGATCTGGGGGGGGGGGGAGACGTGTACGTGGGAACCGGAAGAGGGGAAAGCGAGGGAAGAGAGGAAGGGACAGAAGGAACAGCAGGATGCTGCTAACGCATGGGCGAGTGCGGCCCGGGTCCGGCTGCAGCCCCGGCCGCCGCGACCTGCGGCTTCCCCTTCCTGCCCGGGCCCCTCGCTGTGCCCCGTGTGGGAGCCGCGCGAGCGCCCGCCCTTCGTCTTCGCGCCCACGGAGGAGAGGGCACGTTCCGGCCCGTCCCCCTGCCCTCGAAGGGAACGTCCCCTCCCCGCCAAGTCGCGGCCGGCGCAGACCCGGCCCCCGCCGCCGGGGGGGACCCCGCACCGCCCGCAGCGACGCGACCCTCCGGGAGCGGGCCGGGCGGGGGTGTCCCCGGGGGCCCCGCACTCACTGTTTGGGCAGCTGCAGGGCGGGCGCGCCGCGCCGCTGGAAGGCCCCGTCCACGAAGACGCCGTTCTTGCCGAGGCAGCGCAGGTAGAAGTACGGCTCCTGGAAGGAGAGCTGCAGGTGGCGCCTGGAGATGAAGCTCGACAGGCCCATGCTCAGGTCCACCGAGCCCTGCGACGAGTTGCGGCCGATGGTGACGCTGGGCTGCCGCATGAGGAACTCGAACTCGCGGCCCTCGAGGCGCGCCAGCACGGGCCCGGGGCTCCGGCGCACCG